CACTTTACTGCAAAGCCTGTGATAAATCAGAATAGTTTTGGTTTTTATTCTAAGATGTAAAAGGAAAACCTGCAGTTGAATTTCACCTTTAGTCTCATCAGCTTTGCAAACCATCATTCTCTGCTTTATCTTTATACAATGCACTTCATTAATAGCTGATAAAAATATAGGCATGCTTTATTTAGCAAATAATCTTGATATGGCAATGAAGATCTAAGTCCTGTTCATTATTTGTAGACATGCTTTCTAATGTATCCTTATATGAGTACAATTTAAATCAAGTCACATCTCTACCCTGGACCTCAAAAATCATCTTCTGATATGCCCTTCTGTGCAGCACACTGACTACTTATGACTCCCTCAGACTTATGAAGTGAAATCCTAAGGCTCCGGATAATAGTATCAGAAGGGAGGCAGTTTTTGAGGGGAGAAGAGAAAGAAAGAAGGAATGTGAAAAAATGTATATTTATACACAAGATAGCTAGGAGAATCGTACTACTAATATCTTGGTTTATTGAAGGGAACTGTTAATGTATAATTGTCTGATCAATCTTACATGCCTATATCTGGTTATATATGCAACCATTTTGAAGATGACATACAAGAATAGCTGGGATAGGTGTATTGCTGATGTTTGTGGTTTATTGAAAGGAACAGTCAATGCTTAAAATTTTCTTTTTTCTTGACCAATGTTGTATGCTTGAATCCGGTAATCAAAATGACTAATGTGAAATCAGCAATATGCAGTATAAGAACCATTGCTGAAATCCTACCATCTTGTATAGTAGAGCTCTGCATCATTTCCAATCTTTTTTATTACTAGTTACTGTCTTTCATTGTTTGATCAATCTTATATTCTTATGTCTGGTGGACTGAGCAACTTCTTTGAAGATAATAGTATGTAATGTAACACCGCTGTTAATTCCAATCATTTTATTTTGAGGTCATGTATCGTTTTGTTGTTTTTGTGTGGTTTTGATTTTGTCTTCATTGTTTTGTTAGTTTTTTAATCTTTAAAATACAAAAGAAAAGGTAGGGACTTTGAGAGATCATCAGGTCATGAGGGTGGAGCCCAAGGAAAGGAATTAATGCCCCTACTAGCAGATCCCAGAGAGCTTCCTTGTCCTTTCCACCACTCGAGGGTACAATGGAAAGGTGCCAACTAAGAACCAGAAGGCAGACTCTCAGCCGGTGTGGATCTTGGATTTCTGGTTCCCAGAGCAGGCTACCCCTCCCTCTAATTCTGTTTTAGGATTAGTTTCTGTATTTTATCTGTAATTTTACATAAAATTGTAAAATTCCAAATAATGAAAGAGACGTTCTCATTGCATCATCAAAATTACTCCGAGTATTATACCGTGTATCCTTCATTTAGCTTCTCTCTCTCATATATGTAAATGTGTGATGGAAATATATGGTGAATGTTTAAATTAAACAGTAAAACATATTACAACAAAAGATACATTGCCATGAATCCCACTTGAAACACTGCCTGATGCTTCAAACACACTTATCCCACCCCACTTGCTATTTCATGAAGCTGCTCTGGAAGTCCTCATTCCTATCTTTAAGAGGTATGATCAAAACTAGCGTGAATGTTGCTGCCAAATGTCATCCAATAGAAAAGCAGCTTCATGAATGCATTACAGTGTGTAGATATCCATCCTATCTGTCAGTACGCAACTTCTGGCTCTTCCACATACTCAAAATGACCAAGAAAGGCAATTGTTTTGAAATGATGCAGGATATCAAGGCAACCTCAAGGGCACAACTAGATACTCAGGAAAGAGGACTTCCAGAACTGCTTCAGACACTAGCAAGACTGATGGGGCATGTGTTTGAAGTGAGAGAGATTAACAACAATGTGACTTTTGCCATAATAATTTTTAAAATTTAGCTGTTCACATTTTAATCATACCTGATCTATGTATGTTTACACCTATTAATTGTAAAACACTTTTAATTGCATTAATGATTGATTCATTATTACTATTTGATGCCGTTTCTTACATTTATTGTATTAAAGTAGAGATGTGAAAACCTGCTCAATAGTTTCTAATATTTGCTGTTATAAATAGTACTGAGATGGGAAACCAAATGTCATGCATATTTATTTTTATTTCCTTAGAACACATTTCTAGATATGGACTGTGTTAGTAAGTAATTGAAAAATGATAAAGTTTTCATTTGTCAAAATACTCTTCTTAATTGCCAACTGAGTGTCCAATCAGTAAAAAGTATTTATTTCTCCACATTCACATGAACAGTGGGTATAATTATTCCTTTTATTCTTTGCAGATCTCTGGTTTTAATGTGAAAAATAAAGTTCTTCCTGGCCACAATTCTAGACAATATTGCTTGGGACTTTTGGTATCAATTACTTTGGAAAATAGATGCACAAACATAACGTCTCAAAACCTTAAGGAGCAGTCTATCTGCCAGGCCTGCCTGTGCAGTTTCAACAGCTGTAACACATTAGTTATAAAGCCACTGTTCTAGAAAATGCAGAAAATTGCAGTAGCAGGTATACAAATTACAGAAAATAAATTCAGAGCCGCATGAAAGAAAAATAGCATGTGGACAAATGTCTCAATCTGAAGAGCGGGGAGAATGAGTTTTTCATTTCATTGGTTCAAGCGCATGCACGATTACTACATGCTCAGGAACGTACCAGACTGAGAGTACCTAGAGATTTTCCAGAGCACTGGTTGGGAACACAAGACTTATCCCAGCTGCTATGATACATCAGTAACATAAGAACTTCATATGAAAATAATTTCTCCTGGTGGTCTGTAATGATCATGCCTTTTTTCAGGAGTAATTAATAAAAAGAGAATCTTACTAGCTCAGGTGAAGCAGGGTCCAGAGCAGATAACTTTCTGTTTCTTTTTCTTTCTGCAGTTCTTTGTCCCTCTGTGTATTACCTTCCTTTCAGGCACTCTCTCTCCTCATGTTGAGAAAGATAATCTAAAATACACACAGGCCTCACTAGCATCTTTACTACTTCCAAAGCAGAAGAAATCCTCTCACACTTGGTTTCAGATACCAGGGAAGATTATGATTGGCCCTGATTGGGTCATCCATGGAGTCATTAAAGACACTGTGATAGTCACCCACCAAGATCATTTGGAGTAGGGGAGAGGGATTTTCCCTCAAGAAAAAAAGATACCGTGCTGACTGCCAATTCCTCTCCACTGCTGTCTCCAGTTGACCTCCCTGAAGACTACACAGCACAGAAAATAATTTTTTACATTTACATGGTACAGTCTAGTTAGGAAAATTAGTTGTCACCTAAAGCAAGGCATTTGGTGGAGAAGAGCAACATTCTATTTTGGAGGCTGTTTACAGAAACATAGCTAAAAGTAGGGGACCATTTACTCACTGACCAGCTGGTGGAAACTCAAAGCACATATGCGTGCTCTTTTTGCACTGAGGCAAAAACATTTTGTTAGAAAGTGAGTGACATCTGCTTGCACTCCCTTGGGCCTTTCTCTGGATCAGTCTTTGCCTTCACGAGCAGCAATTAACCATAGACTATTGTATGTTCAGTTGCAGCAATCTATGTTTAATAATTTTAGTAGAATAAGATGTGACACAGTCTATTTAAGGGCAGTGGTTACGAATGAACCTAAATAAAATGTATCCTACGCAGTAACTTAACCAACTGAATAGTTACACGTTGTATGTAAAAATATTTTTAAAATTTCAAAATGTGTTTTAAATTTCAAATTTTCGAAGTTTCACTTTTCAAAATTTCAAGGTTCAAAATTTCAAAAGACGTTCTGCATTTACTCCTATGATCCGAAAATGTTAAAAGCAATTTTTGTTTCTTTGCTGCTCTTAATGCTTTCTGTTTGGGAAACAGATTCTCAGAGAGCAAGTATGAATTCCCCACTCACTTGGCACATTTGTATTTTTACTTGATAAAAGCTTCTTTTCTGTCAATTATGAGAACTCATATAGCATTTTTTTCTTTTTTCCCTCTTTCCCACATTTCTCTTCAGACTTCTGTGATAGACCACAGAGAACCTGAGAAATAACATGAGTGATGGATGTCAGATTTCTAAACTCAAGTTTTCTGGTAGTTGTGCAATCTAACAGAATTATTAAACCTCTTGGGACCTAAACACCTTTATTGTGAAATTGGGAAAACATACCTCTTGTATTAGGTGAATGTGAGAATTAATATAGATGACAAGGTCTATAATACATACCTTGAATGATGAGAAGCACTGCTAACAGCTGTTATTATTTACAAGGGACAAGGGTTGAGATAAAGACAATACCAGTTATACTTACTGAAACACCAAGTGATCAAATAATTGCTTGGCCCACAACACAAGGTGCCGTGTCCTCATATACAGTCTTTTAATATTTACATATCAAACTACTTCATGATCAAAAACTGTTTCATGTTTCATACAATAAACAGTATAAAGTAGCAGCTTGTTTCTCTAAAGACATTTATTTTTGGTGGAGATACTTGTTTTCAATTTGTTAAAACATTTATTTTTGGTGGAAATACTTGTTTTCAATTCAAGTGACCATGTTGTTTTATACTGTGAGCTTCCATATAATGAAAAATCTTATATTTGTTTTCTCCTAACTTTGTTTTAGGGAAAAAATTTTCTTTGTCATTATCCTTACATCACATTTTTTTCTCTGTTCCTAACTGGATCATTAGAAGATAGATGTACAATGTACCCAAACCTCTTTCATCTCCAGACAATCTTTTCAGTAGCAAACACCACAACTGAGTTCAGGTGGCAGCCATGAGCAGGCCAACTCCTGAGTGAGATTAAGATGAATGACAGTATTGTATGCCAAAGACCCATAGCCCCTGCAAGAAATGAGAAATTAATAGACCCAGTATTGGCACTGGTGGTGTAATTACAGAAAAATTAAAGAGAGAAAAGAGAGGGCAGGGAAAGAGGGAAGGAGAGAATGCTTAAGCATATGTGACAGATATTTCAGAACACAAATCTGTGTTTTTTTTGTACCTTTAATATCCCCATACTCTGGGGATCGACCATGTAGAACCAAAACCGAAGTGTGCACATTCCGAGGCTTGCTGGGAAGTATTCGGCAGTAATGATTCTTGCAGTGGACCCTTCTCCAGGATTGGAAGAGTGGACATACAAGAAGTGGTGACCACCACCTTGAAATAGATTAATACAATTTTGTCAGTGCAGAAATATATCTTATAATACGAGAATGCCTTTCAACCAGACACAGACATCATTTTCTCCCTAAACACTTGCATACAATTAAACATAATTATTTCCAGAGTCATATATCAACAACATGTGCTTATTTTAAATCAAAAATGTGTTGCTGTAGTCATGTGATTCACGACTTTCAATTTGGCATATGACTCACACATGACTCCATCAAACATTTGTGCTGATTATGAAAGAGGAGTCCTTTTCTCCTTATCTGCTCAATCTTCTCAGTATTCTATACTATTCATACAGCAGGTACAAAGTTGACATCAGGGACTGAGTTGATATTGGATCTTATTTCCAGTTGCCCTGAATCCTACACTGACTAAGGCAGTTATACAGTAACAGCAAAGTGAAATGTGATTCTGAGAGTCATCACGTTATCTCTTCGCATCTCCAGATAATGCCTATGTTTCTCAACTGCATTAATATGTGAAAGGTCTCTCTGCATAAATGCAATTGGAATTTTTTGTTAACATCATTAGCACGATTTTTCACAGCTACCATTTCTTTTCATGACTTTAGCTGGGGTTGGATACAAATATATCTCTATATCTGTATTGATTGATAATTCTCAGTGATTGATTGATAATTCAAGGGATTAAAGTATTTTCTGATTGCAATTATTTTTTTCTGTGGCATTTCACTGCTTAGAGAACAGTAATGATGATATTAGTGATTTAGGATTTTTCTTTCTTGTTTATTTCTTCTGACTTGAGGTTTTCAAGTTTATTCATCTTTCATTGAGGAGCTTTTAGTTTCAGTGATTTTTGTCTGTTGATTTTTAAATACAATTTCATTAATATCTGCTCTAATATTATTTCTTTTCTTTGGCTTTCTATAGATTTAAACTGTACTTCATTTTCGAATTCCCTAAGCTGGAAGTTTCTATTATGGATTTTCCATCTTTCTTCTCCTCAAACATATGTACTCTAGACTAAAAATTTACTTGGAAGCGCTGCTTGACCTGAAACCCACGAACTTTGAGGTTATATTTCTTCTTATTAATTCAGAATATTTTACAATATTTCTTGAGACTTTTACAATCTACATGTTTCTTTGCTTGTTGGTTTATTTATTTATGACGCGGTCTTATATAGTTCAGGCTGGCCTTGAACTTACTATGTTGTCTAGCATGGCCTCAGTCTCCCAAGTGCTGGGATCACAGGTGTGTGCCACCATTCTTGGCTGTCCTAACTGTTTTTTTAGAGTTTTGTTCTTTAATTTCTATGTGTTTGAGGTTTTCAAGTATTTTGTGACTGTATTTGTCACTGATTTCTTCTTCAGTATAGGGTATTGAACCCAGTGCCTCTGCACTGAGCTACACCTTCTGCTCATTTTTTACTTTCTATTTTGAGACAGGGTCTTGCTAAAGTTCCAGGCTGGACTTGAACTTGGGATCCTCCTGCCTCAGTATTCCAGAGTCTGTTAATTAGCTAGCCAATTAGCTAGCTAGCTTAACACCATCAAAGTCTGACAACATACATTTTAAGATTTTTATTCTTTAAATTTTTAAAGGTATGTTTCATGGCCCATAACGTCATGTATCTTGGTGATACTTACATATATACTGAGAAGAATGTGTATCCTGCTGTGGTTGGGTGAAGTAATCTATAGATGCCATTAGAGCCAGTTGATTGAGAATGGTGTTCAATTCGACTTCATCCTTCCTGATTTTCTGCCTACCAGATCTGTCCACTGCTGATAAGAAGGACCAAGTGTCCAGAGGAGGCCTCATTATTTCTCCTCCATGTTTTAAGTGGTTTTGCTTCTAACATTTTGATGTTCTTACATTAGGAAATTTTTCTCTGCTTTTTGAAGGGAGACTCTGTCAGGTTTCCTGGAAGTGAAAGTCATAAAAGTATGTTGTTTCCCCATAAAATCCAGTACCACCTGAATATTTGTCTCTCTCTTTTTCACACTGAGCCTGTACCTACTTGGCCTGCTTTTTTCTATGCTGAGTGTTCCTTGAAATATATTGTGTATATCACTAAGCATTGGAAAAATACACACAGTATTTTAACTCAGCCATGAAAACAGTTTTCTAAGTTTTTTATTTTGTTCCAAGGGTATAATATGTTTCTTTATTTGGAAAATAAAGACGTAGTGGTGCTGAACATAGTGGTGCATGCCTGTAATCCCAGCACTTCAGAGGCTGAGGCAGGAGGATCACTGCCAGTTTACGGCCAGTCTGAGACACATAGTGAACTCACAACCAGCCTGCACTACATAAGATCTTGTCTCAAAAACAAAAAAGAGAAAGTGATTCATGTGGTTGAGATAGACTTAAATTCATCCATCAAACCTACGAACTCACTTTTTCTTTAAAAAAATACTTTATGTCTGTGCCACTGTATTTTTAATTATATAAGAACAATTAGGTTTCCCCTTGTCTAATTGCCTTTTACCCAAGTGAGGATTTCTAGTGCATTTTGACCGCACATCATCAAATTTTAAAACATTTTCTAAGAATAAGAAGTGTACAATATAATCCAAAGAGTGATAGTAATTAATGTTCCTTATTTAATTAAAAGTACAGAATGTATTGATCCTGTATTATCTATGCAAAGAATAGCCTTGAACTAGTCATAAATGAATAGCTAATTAACTAATATGTTTGGATAAAATCATTTTATATTTCATAGCTCAGCTCTTATTAAACAGCACAGCATACATAATTAACACTAATGTACTTCAATCTCAAAAGCAGATCATGTTTCATTCAGAAGTCCAGCATCTTTTTTCATGCTCTGTGCTAATCTCACATTGAAAGTCAATATTTACAGCAATTGGAAAAGTAATAATTGTGTTCACTGATGCAAACTTAATCAATTTAACCAAGTTACGATTTGAAGTATGATTTAAAACTTTGTATTTGGCTAAGTTTATTCATTGAACTGCATAAATACATTGGAGCACTTAGATACTTCTGAATAATTTTAGTGCTATACTTTTTTTTGTTTTGTTTTTCTTCCGGTACTAGAAATCGAACTCACAACCTTGCGGTTATACTTCCTTTTAAAAGGCAGGTTGTAATGGGAGCACCTTGAACTAAGCCGAAGTGCTGTGACTTGCCACTGCCCGCAAGCTCCTATAGTAATTCACATTACAATATCCCGAGTGACTCCATAACCTTTCCATGGTACACAGGGCAGCAGATAAGGTCTTCATTTTGTATTTCAGTTCCTTAACTCCAAGTAGTCGAATGATACTGATTCATGTTTTCACAACAGCGGAGGCATTTGAAAGAATAATACACATAAATGGGAACAATGAATTTTTTATGAATTTATCTGTAGGTAGTCACCATTCGTTTCTAACAGGGTGTGTGCACAAATGTTAAGAACAAATTTAGACTGAACATCATAAACTTCATTCCCCATTCTACACTTATTCTTGCTAGAACCTACTTCTATCAAGGCAAGTGGTGAAAACCAGCTTACCAGAGACACGATGTCACCAAAAGGAATGTCATACCTTCTAAAATTTGCGTTTGAGTGCTACACAATAGAATGCAGCGCATAAAAGAGACATAATCCCCTGGTGAAGGCAATGTTCCACTATAGCATATTGATTTCTCTGCAGGACAAACAATATCGTGTAAAGCTCAACATCAAAGCGAGCAATTCAATTATTGGTGACTCTGGGCTAAGTTTTCAACTCATTTGCCACATAGGATCTTCTAATTTCCATGCTCAGTTTTGGTCTCATGAAAGTCTTCTGTGAGCGCAAAAACCAGAAAGTCGATTCTTGGCTGAGGTGTTAATGCGTGTCACTGTGAAATTGCATTCACTTTCAAACAACATTGCAAATGTTTGTCTGGTAAGTTAGAAGCCACTGTTGCAAATTTGGTCTTTGGCAACTTTTAATTCTAAAACTCTCCTGTCTCAGTTTGACTTTGGAAGGGGACAACTTGTCTCAATGGCACTTTTTTTTTTTTTTTGAGATAAAGGTAAATAGTTGCCTAGCCATTTGAAATTATTAATAAAAATATATAAATTATCCAGAAACCAAGTAGGTTATCACAAATTTATAACATGTTATGTAGAACAAACTTTCAGAAATACATTATTCATTCTTTATCTAGTAACCTCAGGTAAACCCACTTTCAAACACTTGTAGACTTTCTGCTGTTTCATTGAGAATTACCTATTTATATCTAACAAAATCCTTAAGAAAGGTCAGTGTAGCCTCCCACACAGTTAAGAATCTGTTAAAGCAGAAAATAAAACTTAAAAGTCACAACTGCCACAGCATATTTAGAATTTAATGGTATATCATTAAATCAATTCCCTTTATTTATCTGGGACTCTGTAGAATGATCAACAGCATTTAGAAGATAGATACCTATATTGTAGAGGTATAATTTTTTGCATTTGATTTTGTGCTGTTTTACAGTGATTTACCCTTTTAAAAGCTACTTAATTCTTATATATAAGGCCAGAATGCTTTCAGTAAATGTTATAAAATCTATCATACTTCAAATACTACTATATTCAATACTCTGAAATAGGGTGTTCACTAAATAATGTCTGATTTTTACCTCTTACTATGCTCTCTGTCCCAAAATATTTTCTGCACACTTTCAGTTCAATAGTTTACTTTTGCTTATATCCATTTACAATTTCAAGTTCTTAAGATCCTAAGGTACAATTTTTATATTTACAGCCAGCTAGTTTAAATCAAGCATTGCTACAGGTTTCTAATTAATATTTAATTTTTACTTTAGAACTTTATGAATTGCACACAATTTTGAAAATCAGGCAGGGGTCTGTAATGTCAAAAACAAATGGTGCAAATTCAACATCAAAGTGAAACTTGGTTCAAATCACCATGGCAATTTGACATCAGAATGCCAAAAAAATACTATTCCTATTGGGAACCCAACACCAGGCTTCACGAACATTCTTTAGCGTGCACAGAAAGCAAAGAGTCT